TCACTAAGATTTGGGCAGCATTCACTAAGATTCGCCTCAAAGAAAGTAGATGACTTTTCATGCTCGGCAACTCCACTCCTTCAGTCAAGCCTTCAGCCTTGGTCTCCACCAGTACTCCACACTTTACCACGTTGTTGCTAGCCACTCACTCCACATGTGATTTTGTCACAAACCCTACCATACCTGTGACAAGTGTTAGAAGCTCCACGGGAAATCGACAAATAACTTGTCCGCCAAATCTTCCACTAAAAGTCTTGCTATGACCTCAGAATCTGCAACAATTCAGCTGGCCATTACTCAGACCATCCTCGAATCAGCGGACTCCATCAAGGGTCAATGGAATACTTGATTTAAGTTAATTGCGTCTAGTCAACCCTCCTTCGGCCCATCAACCTCTCATGTCCGCCAAGGTAACATCTCTACAACACTCACTGGTTTTAATTTTTCAAGCTCATGAATTATTGATTCAGGTGTCACGAACCATATGACTAGGAGTTCTCATTTCTTCTTGACAAATTCTCTTTGCTTCAGGCTAGATACGATTAAAATTATCAACGGCTCCTGTAATTCCATTGCGGGTAAGGGTCGGTTGTAGTTGTAGTCGGGCTGACTTTTAAATATTTAGTTTGTGTTCAGCCCATGTCCCGCCCAAATTGAACATGGGTTGAGCCTGAACCCGCAACCCTTAATTAAAAAAATATATGCATCGATTTTCGTGTTAATTGCTCGTGCGCGAAACCATAGTGATATGGGTTCTGTCTAGCTAAATTCGATGTTCAGAACGCGTTCGCGTGGTCTGTTTCGTCATTCGGGATCGTCCGAAAGAGTTTGTCGACGATCGACCTAATTCAAGCCAACATCGTGTGTGGTTTAGTGGGTGCACAAATTGTGGGGTCCGCGAGTACTCGAGTCACTAAGGGTTTCCCTAGGGGCTTCTCCTATTCATGTAGAAACTCAACTCGAGTTTTATATGTCGGTTCTAATCAGCTCAGTGAAATTCCAAGGATTCGGGACCGCTGATACGAGACCCAAAGGAGTAACGAGGTGGCTCGAATTTTCTAAGTGGTGTGGGTCTCAGTACTAGTTCTCTAGGAGGGTCAAACAAGGAAAACCTAAGGTTAAACCCTAGGTTCTAAGGAGAGAAGTAAAGACCTCACCCAAAAATGAGGTCAACAATCAATTGCAAAAGTCCCTCTATGGACTGAAGTAGTCCCCACGGGATTGGTTTGACAAGTTCACACAAGTGGTAGTGGATCATGGGTTCTCTCAGACCCAATATGATCATACACTATTTTTTTGGCCTTCATCCAGTGGCTGCATTGCTATCATCAACATTTAAGTCAACAACATGGTGCTCAAAAGTAATGATATGCCAGCCTTGGAGTCACTCAAAGGCATCATCAACGCAATTTTTGAAATGAAAGACTTAGGGTCTCTCTGATATTTTTTAGGCATGGAAGTTGCCCAATCCTTTCGGGGCATTTGTCTTTCTCAACGCAAATATGTGATGGAACTATTAACCAAAACCAAATTCATTTGCAAGCCAGTTGTTGTCCCGATGGATCCAAATAATAAATTATTGGATGTTTCCAATGTCATTCCAATAAACAAAACCTAACACCAATGCCTCGTGGATAAGCTCATCTATCTCGCCCATAGTAAGACATTTGTCACGCTGTGAGTATCGTCAATCAACTTATACATGACCCTTACGAGCACCGACTCACTGTAGTTCATCGAATCCTTCGCTACCTAAAATAAACATTGAGCTCAAGTTTGTTGTTCATTCGTCACAATTCCAACTTTGTTGCGGTTTATACGGATGATGATTGGGTCGGATCTGTCCATAATAGACGATCTACCTCAGGTTATTACTCCTTCGTATTAGGGAATCTTGTCACTTGGAAAGATAAAAAAAAGAATGTGGTTGCCCGTAGTAGTGCTTAAGCCAAATTTCACTCTATGGCTATGAGGGTGTGTGAAGACCTTTGTGTATTATGCTCACTGAGTTACGTATGTCGATCACTACTCCTCTACAACTATTTTATGACAATAAAGTCACCATTAGCATTGCTCATAATCCGATTCAACATGATCGTACCAACATGTGGAGATTGACTGTCACTTTATCAAAGAGAAACTTAATTCTGGTGAGATATGTGTTCCGTTTGTTCCATCTACTGGATGACTGACTGATATTCTCACAAAAAATCTTCTTGCTCGTTGTTTGACGACTTCAAATCAAAGTTAAATATTGATTGAAATCTATGCTTCAACTTGAGGAGTGCTATAAGTTATTAGTTTTTATTTCTTTCCTTTCCAGATATTTCCTAGTTTATATGTTTTCTTGTTAATGTATTTCCTTATTTATGACTTTTCTTTTACCTCAAGATAGTTATCAGGATTTAATTTAATCCTAGAGATTTGTATGTTAGGTTTTTCCTATTTTATAACTCTTGTTTCATGTATTTTACCCCATTTAATATTAATAAAATTATTTAATTGAATTCCTACAAAATATTTAATAATTGACGGTTAACTTAAATATGTAAGAATTTTATGATTAAAAATATTAACCTCTTTTTACCTTGAGATTCTTCGCCTTCTGCAAATCACAAGTATTTATCAGTCATCTTCACACTTTCTAATTGAATAAAATTGAATAACATTATTTTAAAGAATTATATCATTGTTCTAATAATAATATAAACATTAACATTTACCTTGTAATAATCTCAGATCGATCTTCTCCCTCACTCGAAAGGAAGAGTTCAAACTACTCTGGAGAGCGAAATTCAGAGAGAACTATCTCAATATTCAGAAACTCAGAAAACAAAAAATTCCAAAATCCTAATACAGTATATAGAAGTCCCCTCAAAACAAATACCTAATTAGAAACTAAGGAAATATGTAAGAGCCAAAAGGAAGGAAGCAAAGAAAATTTGTAGAAAGTAAAGAAAGTAAAAAAATAATAATAAATAGCTTCGATTCGATCCAGGCTCTCATGATTGCGAGAGCCAAATACTGCGGCATTGTTGGCCTTCCCATGTCTCGCATCACATAAGTTGTTGTCATATCAATTTATATTTTTTATGACGACTTCAACTGTCAGAATATTTAAACCCTTAATGACGGTCAAAGCACCAAAATTCTGAAGAAAAAAAATAGAAAACTTCTAACGACTTTATCGCCTCTCAAAAAAATTTTCCATTGCCATGTTAACCTATGGATTGTGATTTATCGAAACCGCCATAAAAAATATTTTCCAATGATTTTTTTTTTTGCTATTTTTTGAATGGTTTGTGCAGTCTGAATATGCCATTTTTCCTATAGTGAAGGATCTTAAGCACTGACAGAATACACAACTAAACATTTAACACGCTAAAACTTATGGTTGATGCTTTAATCATGAATTTAGAGTTAAAAAATGATGAAGCATACATCAATATAAATGAGAAATGTGCAATATATTCCTAGTTTAATAAATATTTAATTCAAGTCTGACAATCAAAAAGTGTCAAATATCAAATTTCTTATCTCCAACTAGTACCAAAAAGTTTGTTGGATCCAATTGGTCCTGGCATCAACTTTGTTTGTTCTGCTGACTATAAGATCAATGTGTTAATAGTTTTTATCAATAATTTGAAGATTACATACTTTTTTTTTTCATATTTTATCCAAAAATAATAATACTAAAAATACATAATGATTAACACTAATGTTGGTGATGTTGGAATTAAGTAAAATTGGCAAAATATTAAAATGTAATTGTAACTAAAGTAAATATTAGTCTTTCTTTTGTTTATGCATAAGCTTTTTATACGTCATATCTTATACTATACATAAATGTTTAATGCTTTTCATTAAAAATTGGCATTAGGAGTTCTGATTACTCATTTCACTTTAACAAATTAAATATAAAAATATTTTGGACATGGAGTGTTGTGTCCTTATCGTTTATGTGCCCCATGCCCACGCTTCACAACCAACAGAACTTTGATTTCAAAGAGATTTGTGATCGATTTCGATTGTTATGAGTTTGGTGCCCTGGGGTGCGGTTTATACAAATTTTCCAGAGATGGAGTAACATTTTTTTGAGAATTGTGCTGTGTTAAAAATTATTTTTCTATTTGTTACTATTTGTAAATCCAATAGAAGATTGCAAGTATAAAATATGGTTGAAGCAATTAAAAGCACAATGATTTTTTTTTAATAAACCTCAAATAGGATGAATTAATCCTCAGCCTTTTGTTTGATCAATGGAGAGACTAAAGGGTTTTTATCATTGTGAAAGTGTGAGGTTCAATTTTACTGGTTTAGTGGTCTCTTCTCCTACTCTATTAATGTTTTTGAATTATCAATTTGCTTTGTAGGTGTAATTGATTCTCATCATATTTGATACAATCTGAATGTGTACTAGATTTCTATGCAATATTTCTAGTGGAAGGTGTAGGTTTTTTCATATATTTATTTTCACATAAAGAAAAGTTATCTAAATAAAGAGTAATACTTGTAGATTTACATTAGTAAACTTCAGACTTCAAAACAACCATATCACTTGTTCACTAAATTATATCCTCCAAAACTGGAAAGATCAGAGGACAAGTATAAAAGCTACAAAAAAACTGTTATAGCAAAAATGCCAGAAGGAATCTATTTTAACCCTAAAAGAATTACAATATTGAGTAGAAAGTCAAATTTTTAACTCAAAATAAAATATAAGAGAATTCCAAATTTACATACGCAATTTTATGCAATTCATACAGTTGGTAAAAAACTAACATGGGCACTTCCTGTCATTGTGTCCCCTATACTATATGGGAGCGTATATTTTATACCAACGGCACAAATTCATACAAGAAAAGATCAGTCCATTGTGTAGATTGTCAAAAAGATGCAAAAAGAGTGATGTAAATATAAAGATACAAGAATAGAATTGCCGCCAAAAAACATGGAGAATAAATAATAGAGTAGAGAGTGGTCGATTAATTTTACTTTACCAGTTTATCCATCATCAATAAAGCGCGCTGTTTAGTACGACTGCGGGTGGTCTCCCATCTAATGCGCAAAATGTCACATGAGATTCTAATCTAGAAAAAAAAAAAAAGGAAATGTAACATGAGTTTGCATGCAATAGAGTGATTTAATTTACGAATAAACTAGAAAGGAACTTCACAAAAGAATTGAAACCATAATGGTTATATATTACCTAACCAACACCAAGGAGAACCACTATCTAGGAATAGAGGTCAAATGGAGAATTAATGAAACTTAAAAGAAAAACAAGAATAAGGAAGAATTCCAATTTAGAGTCATGGTGTCATTTTCTATAAAAAAAAACTATCATTACTGCAGTGGATATACATGTCTAGGAAGTTTGGCCGTTAAGGAAAACCTGAGCCGTTAAGGAAAACCTGAACAGAAGTCAAACTGAGAGTAAAATAAGCTTCTATAATGCATTTTTAAATCTATCATTAACTAACATTCCCACAATAAAAATTATAAATATAACGAAAACATGTGTGCAAAAGTGCGGGGGATAAATTATCTTCAGACGAGAGTAAAGAGATGTTGCAAGAAATATGTTGAAAACAAATCTAAGGATATAGACATGAGAATGAAGAAATCTAAACTGTTGCTACTCTCTAATGGAATGATATATAATCATAAAAAATTATTATGTTCAAATAATCATGAATCAGTGAACAATGCCTTTCCATCTACAGCAACCCATCAATCAGTGGATAATAGTTTCTACCTACATCAGTACAACAATGCGTGGACAACAGCTTTCCCCCTACAACAACAATCCAACAATTTAATGATAATGACGTTCTATCTCTAGCAATCCAGCATTTTGTGGATAGCAACATTCCATTTAAAAGCATAGTTGATTCTGTATTCAAGAATTAAATATTAGTTTCAAGATTTATTTCTTGATAGCTATTTTCCTACCCACTTATATAAGTTCTCTTAACATTTTTTGCACAAAACAAAAAAATAAAATTCAATCACGCAATCTCCCAATGTTCAATGCTCCTCTCTTCTTATTCTAGTTTTCAAGATGTTATCATAATGATTAAGGTTGTACTGGTGCAGCCAAAGAATCATTCAATGTGGAGTATCTATATTTCTCCACGCTGAAAAGTTCTTCACAAGTACTAAAAGCCAATCTTCGTCCCACAATAGTAGCGAAAATATACATGAAAATACTTATGGAAAGTTGGTGGCAATTGCCATGAAAAAATAAAGACAACGGCCATTAAGAATACAGTGATAAAGAAATTACAAATTCAATGTTTAAAACCAAGTTTGAAAACATGAAAAATCCACGATGAAACATTGGATGGAAAAATTCGAGATAGAACCAACAATACAGCCAAATCGCTTCAACTTTATCTTTGTTGTTTGAACAATTTGAGAAGCAAATCAAAGACAACTAATTTTGCAATAAAAGCTCATGCTAGACCATCACCAAAATAAGCTTAATAGTACAAAAAAAATATTCTAATACATCCTCAACGAAAAAAAATAAGCAACTACCATTATTTGGATGGTTGACCGGGAAACTTCAGATCATATGAAAGGAGTAAAATTGACTTCCGCAATTATAAGTTTATAACCAATACAATAAATGTTAAAATGGATAAATTGTAAATGGGTCACTGCCTAACGCAGTTGAGATAAGTTTTATCATTCTCTTCAAAGATATAGCACTCAACTATGTTCTTCTAGAGCCTAACCTAAATTACAGCTTACTATCAATCAACAAAATCAATCAAAACAAATAATTGTGCAAGTAGTTTCTAATCTAATATATCACTTTCAACTTCTAAATTTTATTTTTTTAAGAAAGGATTGCAAGGATGTAGTCAAGATTTGATAGATGCTTCAAATGAGAACCTCTAGGGCACTTCTCATTAAACAGATAGCTCTTCTTCATTGTCATATGATTAGCATTGGAAGTGAATTTTATTTCTTGAATTTTGTCGGCCAACTTTTTGAAGATTTGAAAATATGGTATATGAAAATAATTTTTGAAATTTAATTTAATATAATAAATATATAGTTCGGGTTTTAAAAGTAGTATGTTTTAATTTTTTGAAAAAATAAAACCAAATGGATCTCATTAGTCCCATAGTTTGCATAATTGTATCTGATGCCGCGAGTACTACACCCTCCCGAAAGACAAGTGTAGACCTCGGCGATAGACTCATTCCTGCAAACTAAGAGATTTGTGACATCCGTTAGGTCTGCGAACCTTTTATGTGTGACCGACAAGTTTCCCTATCTAATACAACGATTACATAAAATTTATTTTACCTTGGTTTTAAGTTCCCTATAAAGACAAGCCCCTATAGTTAATTACATCTCATATGACTGGGGTCACTTGAGAAAACTCTCGATAATGATCAGAGGTATTAGTCTTCAAGATTCTAATGTTTATGTTTTCACGGCATGACGAGGAAAATCAAGTGGGAATGACTCAATACGGAACACTTATTTTCAGGAGTCTGAAGGAAGGAGAAAGTAGGGGATGTCACTGATTTGAGGTAAACCTCGGTGACTTCCCAGACTATCCTACGGTGTGGCTACATTTTGGAGACGATGTTAATTAAGTGTTTGATCTTGCCAGTTTTATTATTTGGGACTTAAACTTGCATAATGTCTGATTATGCAAATAGCAAGCAGAGATATGAGGGTTTACGTCGTACCGTACGACAACCTCAAAACCTAAATCGAGTTAGGACTCATGCCGCGCAACATGATTGCACAGAAGCCTAAGGAGAAAGTGAGGATTCATGTCGCGTTGTTACGTCACGCTAGGCGAGCTACCTTCAAGTCCTATGGGTTGTTATTATGCTAGGAAGAGATAATGCTGAAGAAGATCCTCTTGCTGCTCGGTCTGAATTCCTCGCTGTGCTGCCCTTAAAGTTGGCTCGTTGGCTCGAAGCTCCTGTCGTCGCGACGACTCCAGGGTTTAAGTGTTTTGAGATTGGTGAAATGGTTCAATGCGGAACACTTATTTTCAATAGTTCAAAGGAAGGAGAAGGTAAGGGATGTCACTGATCCGAGGTAAATCTCGATGACTTCCCAGACTATCCTACGATGTGGCTATATTTTTTTGGAGACGATGTTAATTAATTGTTTGATCCTGCCAGTTTTATTATTTGGGACTTACACTTGCATAATACCTGATTATGCAAATAGTCCGCAGAGATATGAGGGTTTACATCGTACCGTACGACAACCTCGGAACCTAAGTCGAGTTAGGACTCATGTTGCATAACATGGTTGTACAGGAGCCTAAAAATGAAGTGTGAGGATTTACGTCGCGCTAGGCGAGCTGCCTCGAAGTCCTATGGGTTATTATTATATTAGAAAGAGATAATGCTGAAAAAGATCTTGTTGCTTGCTCCAAGCTCCTCGTTGTGCTGCCCATCAAGTTGGCTCCAAGCTCTTGTCGTCGCGATGGCTCCAGGGTTTAAGTGTTTAAAATTATAGTTTATGTTTCACAGTTTTGGTGTCAAAGTTTGGTTTTGCATGCAGAATGAGTAGATTGCAGGTAAATAAAAAAAAGTAATTGAAAAGTAAAATGCAGTAAAGTAAAATGCTGTGGATAAATTATAAAAGCGTACCTAGGCATCTGCTACTATTGCGTTATTAATGTTGCGAGCATAGTATGATTTGCAGCAGATCTTAATAAACTTGCAGATCTATGATTTGCAGCAGATCTTAATAAACTTGCAAGAAAATTAAATAAAACAAGAAAACCCAGCATGAAAGTCATAAAAACGAGTAGTAAAAATCACAAGCAAAAGAAACTTATAACCACATATGAAAGATCAGGAGTAGGTATAAGACATTGGTGAAAGTGGGGGCTCAGAGGCTCAGAGCTAGGCTGTGTGTCTGTGTGTTTCCCGATCTTGAGTAAGAGTTGCCAACTCGACAATCTACAGGAGGTAGTTCTTAACCTCAATCCAAATGACTAGTTGTGGACCTTTATAAATTTTCATAGAAAGAATTTCATGCAAAAGTTATTATTAAGTCTTTTTTAGGCAGAATTCTTTTAATCATGCAAAAGAAATTTTTATTTTATTTTTGTAAATATTTTGCAAAGTCATACAGTCCACAGACTAGTCACTCTAATCGTGCTAGAACTACTGACAACCTAAGAGTGTCGGGGGCAACGATCCCACCAAGAATCGGCGAATAGTATCATAGGTCATTCCCTCTCCCTTATTGAAGATCCTTCAGGTAAGAGATACTATTCTAATAATCTAACCTAGTATCCCTCGTTTAAGCACACATGAGCAATGCCGTCATCGCCCTCGCCACCTAGACCCTGGACTTATCCTAGTCTGATGATCCATATGTGGCGTTAAGAAATTTCTCCAATTGCCAGGAGGATTTGAGTGTAATATTCAAGCTCAAATCCCGATGCACTGGGTTTCATTATAGATTAAGTCATTGAGGGAATTTCACTGTTAATTTAATTAAGGAAGCATGAACTACTTCTCGGTTCATCCTGATGTCTAGTGTCTTGATCAGTTTGTGAATCAGGGTCAAGTGTCAAGTTTAGTTATTTATTCGAAAATTAAGTGGATGAACGCTCACCTAGGGTGTGCTCCTAAAATCTAGGAAGTCTATGCTGAGAATTAGGTGGATGGACTCTCAACTAGGGTGTGTTCCTAAAATCTAAGAAGACATATGCTGAGAATTAAGTGGATGGACTCTCACCTTAGGTGTGCTCCTAAAATCTAGGAGGCCTACACTGAGTTAGGTGGATGGATTCTCACCTAGGGTGTGCTCCTAAAATCTAGGAAGACTATATTGAGGATTAGGTGGATGGACT